CTAAGGGTTTTTTCTGTTTCTTATGGTTGTAAGTTCGCCGGGGGGGTGGGGGCGCACAGGACCCGCCGCCGGTCGCAGCCTAGGCGCAGGACCCGGAGAGGCCCAAGGCTACAATGAATATCGATGTGTAAGCATTCTCCTGTCCTTTGGGTAGATACCCAGGAGTGGAATTGCTGGATCATATGGTAGTTCTATTTGAAGGTCTTTGAGAAACTTCCATATTGTTCTCCACCGTGGCTGGACCAATTTACATTCTCACCAACAGTGTAGGAGTGTTCTCCTTTCACCACATCCCCTCCACTTATCATTTTTTGTTTTTTGTTTTTTAATCTTTGCCATTCTGACTGGGGTTAGGTGGTATCTCCTTGTGGTTTTGATCTGCATCTCCCTTATAATCAGGGATGTTGAGATTTCTTCATATGCTTTCTGTCTGTTCATATATCTCCCTTAGAGAGTTGTTTATTCAACTAATTTTCCCACCTTTTAATTGGGTTCATCTTTTTCTTCTGGGTAGGCCACATCAGTTCCCCAAATTAAATTTTTTTTTTTTTTGAGAGGTTTTTGCTATAGGGTGCGTGTGCTTGCCAGAAAGACAGAGAGAGACAGAAAGACAGAAAGTGAGAAATCACCCCCCCGTGGAGGTTGGCCATGCCGCAATCCCTTCTCCATTCTCCTCAGAATCTTGAGCACGCACACACATGCACCAGGTGGAGTGTAAGCCACTGGGTCCGGGACTCATCCCACAGACGACTACATGTCTATGGTAAAATTAAAACCTAAATAACAATAACGAATAAAATAAAATTAAATAAATAAATCTTTTTTAAAAAGAATTAGTTTATTGGAAACCAGCAATTAGCGTAATGGCTATGTTGCTGGACTCCCACATAGTCAACCGCGGTTCGCGTCCCGGACCCAGTGGCTTACACTCCACCTGGTGCATGTGTGTGCGTGCTCAAGATTCTGAGGAGAATGGAGAAGGGATTGCGGCATGACCATCCGCCCTGGGGAGTGATTTCTCGCTTTCTGTCTCTATGTCTCTCTCTGTCTGTCTGGCGAGCGCACGCGCCCTATAGCGGAGAAAAAAAAAAGAATTAGTTTATTTATCATCATTATTATTTAATTTGCTACGGGCACATGCACTTACCACAGGGGTAGGAGAGAGAGGGAGAGAGAGGGAAAGTGAGAAAGCAAGCCACCAGGTTCAGGACTTGACCCGCAGTCAGCCACATGGGTGTCCAGTGCCCTAACCACCAAGCCACCTGCTGATCTCCCTATTTGGTCTTTAGTTCTCAGCTTAAATGTGAGCCACTCCACGATGCTTTCTGTGACCCCACACTAAATCATATATATCTGACTGACTTTTTTTTATTTTTGAGAGGTTTTCACTATAGGGCGTGTGCGCTCGCCAGACAAACAGAGAGAGATATAGAGACAGAAAGCGAGAAATCACCCTCCAGGGGAGATGGTCACGCCGCAATCCCTTCTCCTCTCGGGATCTTGGGCACGCACGCACACGCGCCCAGCGTGAGTTCTAAGCCACCGGGTTTGGGACTCGAACTGTGGTCGACTACGTGGGAGTCCAGCGACATAGCCATTACGCCAACTGCTGGTTCCCGTGACTGACATTGTTTTTAAAGTGTATTTATTTATTTGTTTGTTTATTTCCTACATGAGGAAGAGAGACAGACAGAGAGAGAGAGAGACAGTGAGACAAAGAGACAGCATCCCAACTAGTACCCAGCTTTAGCCTAGCCCCCGGTCATGGACACATTTTGTGCCAGAGGACCCATTTTCAGACTCAACCTGAACTCTTCCCACTGTCAGTCTCTCAGAACATGACATGTTACTACTGCTCCTGTCCAGCCCCCCTCACTCACTTTTTTTCTTCTCTCTCTCTTTTAAAAAATTATTTTTTATTTAACTTTATTTATTTGTTCATTTATTTTAATTTGACCAGAGAGGGACAGAGTGAGAGAGAGAGGGAAAGTGAGAAAACAAGCCTCCAGGTCCGGGACATGAATCGTGGTTGACCAAGTGGGAGTCCAGCACCCTTAACCACCACGCCACCTGCTGGCCCTTCGCCCTTCTCTCTCTCTCTCTCTCTCTCTCTCTCTCTCAGAGTCTCTCAGGCCAGCCTGTGGCAAGGTGTTACGGAGGCTCGATCCCACATGGTCAAATGCACAGTTTGAGTTCCAGACCTGACGGCTTGAAAACCATGCCAGGCCCATGTGTGTGCCCCAAATCCTAAAATGGGGAGAAAGGAAGGAAAAGGGATTGTGGTTTTCTCTGTCTCTCTCTCCTTCCGGCAAGCACACATGCCCTCTAGCAATTAAAAAATAAATAAAAGGGAGGAAACCTCTCAGTCCACCTGCCTCAGCCTCCAAACAGCTGGGCCCACAGGCACGTGTCCCTACCCCATGTCTCACCACCCCACATGTCACCACCCCACGGGTCACCACCCCATGTGTCACCACCCCACATGTCACTACCCACCTCTTTTTCCTTTTAAGAGAGATTTTTGCTAGGGAACCAGCAGTTAGCGTAATGGCTATGTCGCTGAACTCCCACGTAGTCGACCGCGGTTCGTGTCCCGGACCCGGTGGCTTAAAACTCATGCCGGGTGCGTGTGCGTGTGTGCCCAAGATCCCGAGAGGAGAATGGAGGAGAAGGGATTGCAGCGTGACTATCC